GATAGGGACCGCATATCTGAAAAAATCTCCAGGTACAGGTAAGTAACCTCTAACTCCTATGTTTTAGGAACCTAAAAATATGCATTAATATCTTTTGGTATGTTAATGAAAACTATTCAAAACAGCAGGTAATATCGGTCCAAGAGTTATTTCAAATCTTTGTCTCATTTAATGTGTTATCAGCAATACATCTTGACCTACAAATCTCCATGCTATGTCATTGCCTTTTATTCCTATTGACATTTCTCTTCGGGCACTCTAATCTTCCCATCAAACCATCACCATATGGCAAGTCCAATTGTGCTGTCTGTCTTTTCTTCCTGTCTGTATCTGCAGTGAATCTTTGCTGGTTACCATCAAAAAGAGCCTTAATTTTACTACCTCATGCATTGACACTAGCTGAATAACTTGATACACTGTATAAGCATCTTTTTTTTCCTGTTGCCACTAATATTCAATTAATAATTGTCTTTTCCTAGCATGTGCACTTCAGTACAAGTGGGGAGGTCTTTGTAGATTTTGCTGCCCAATACTATTTGTGTGAATTTGCCCTGAAATTTTGAAAAGTGCCTAAAGGTGTGTGTCTAAACGGCAGTAAAACAACAGGAGCTGGCCATGTCAGCTGATTCAGGCTCTCAGGGATCGGTTGCCAGCCTCTGAGGGAAAAGGTCCAAGAGTCTGGGCTCCAGCCTAAGACCAAATATCTACCCTGAAATGCTCTAGCCCAGGGGTGTCCAAACTTTTTTCAAAGAGGGCCAGATTTGATGAAGTGAACATGCGTGAGGGCCGACCATTTTGCCTGACATTCTTTGAACCATTAAAATTAAATGCAAATTAACTATTTTATGCAAAGTTTATTGCAAACGGCATACTTTTCATTTCGTCACATGGATGACAAATCTAAACAGGTGTTAAATCACTCTGCCTTTCATATCTGAAGGCCAGATGAAAAAAAAAATCCAGGAAGCTGAAATATATGTCAGGAACATTGTAAAGTACATTACATATTATTGGTAATAAAGGTTGTCTGTCAACTTTTAAGTTCAAAAAATATGAACAGGAACATAACACCAAGTATACATGTTGTGTCCAAATATATTTATAACTGATTTAGACCAACTGACTTTAACTGAGATTTTACAATGTATTCATCTCAATACATATGGATTCGTTGGGGGCCATAAAAGATAGATATTGCCAAATTACCCGTGGGGCCGTATTAAACTGGAACACGGGCCGCAATTGGCCCGCGGGCCGGACTTTGGACATGCCTGCTCTAGCCCAAGCCCCGTGAGCCTGAGTCAGCTGACCTGGGTCAACCATCAGTGTTTATTACAATGTAGACATCTCAAGTGACTTAGTCTAAATCCCATTGAAAACTAGTGGCACTTGGTCTCCTAAATGGCTTTTGAAATTGGGACTTAGTCTCTTGAGGTTTCTTTTTTTAAAATTTACCCTTAATGCCCTTGAAAGTGTGGAAAGAATACCAATGGCTATAGTTGGTCATAATATTGTCTGTCTTTCTATTACACACCTCTGTCAAACACTTAAACGTGTGCTGCCAAATGACTGCTATTTCTGTTTTGTCCCCTCTTTGTCAAAACTATAAATTAAGTAATTACTGTATCTATGTGATATTGTTATAACGTAGATAAATATTTCCTAGCTAGGGGATAAAATGGGACCAGCAAGCTCATTTTCGTGTATGATCTAAACCAGCATTTGAAATCAAGTTCCCAAAAGGGATATGCTTGTGCAAATAACACCTCATGCCACCTAATCTCACATCATAGGCACTTACAAATTTAAGTGAGGAACACAGTGCATGTCACAGAGGACATATTTGTAAATGAACCTTAAGGAACAACAAAGTCTTAATTGCTTGCTCAAATCCATTTTTTCCTTTAAGAAATATGTTAAGTATGGAACCTCTCAGATCTTCAGAATTTGGATAAGTCATTCTTTGAAAAAGGTGTTAAATACTTTCTTTATAGGAGGATTCCACATGAGTGGAGCTTCCATCTCATTTTATAGACCAAAAACATATATTGTGACTCACAATCTAATCTACACACTTGTTTGTGTTCTTGCTTTAGATACACTCCACTTGATTATGCACTGCTTGGCGAACACCATGAAGTGACTCAGTTTATGTTAGAACATGGTGCCTTGTCTATAGCTGCCATACAGGACATTGCTGCCTTCAAAATCCAAGCTGTCTACAAAGGATACAAGGTTAGAAAGGCTTTCCAAGACCGAAAAAATCTTCTAATGAAGCATGAACATTTGAGAAAAGATGCTGCTGCCAAGTAAGTCTGACACATGTAGAGAGCAAAATGAAGTTCCTAAAAATGAAGTTGTAGAAGACAATAATAGTTTACAGATGAATTGCTGTTTCTTAATCTCTTTAGAAATAGTCTTTTTTCCCTTCAAGGAAAATAGAGTGTTCCCCCAGATGTTGTATAGATAGGTACATTATGTAATACATATATAAATTCAGGGATTTTAAAACTATCAAATACTTCTGGAAGCTTTATCACTATTATGGTGATGGATAACTCTGATACCTTTATCTCTGTTTCTGAGGGGTTGGAAAATGAAGTGAGACTTGCCAGCCAATCAGTTTCTAAATATTTGCCCATGACAATCCTTCTCTCTATTAAGCTTAGCTGTTTTTCAGTACTTCGCAGTTTAATTTTTATTGAGCATGATAGAGCTATTGTTCAGACCTCTCTCAAGATCAGATTTTGGTCCAATAAAAGATATTATCTCATCTACCTTGTGATCTCTAAGGCTATGTCTATGCTGGCGGGTTGTTGCTCCAGAAGTATGCAAATGAGGCTAAGCGTGAAATATCGCCGAGCCTCATTTGCATATCTAATTAGCCACCATTTTTGCACATCCTGTCACTAAGCATTTTCTCACAGGACTTCAAAATACTTTCCCTGCAGTATGACCACCTATACCAATGTGGGACCTTAATCATGTCCTGAAAAGCTAAACTAGGTCTTCCTCTGAACCACTTGCAACCTGACCTTGGTTACACCTCTCCATGAAAGTTGCCTTTCTAGTGGCCATTACCTCCAGTGAACTAACAGCAGTACAATACACAAAGGACTAGAGGAGTGGAGGATAGAAACAAAGTGGAAAGTTAAGAGTGAGCACAAATGTGTGTGTGTGTGTGTGTGTGAATGACTGAGTGAACAGGCAAAAGTCTCAACAGAGGAGCAAGAAGTGAAATACAGGATGAAAACAGAAAGAAGCTATAAAATCTGGAACTCAAACAGATTTTTCACATGAATAAAAAGAGTTTACCATTACCGAACAGCAAATGGAACTTTTAAAATTACCTGTCTGTCAAGGGCAGGCATAAAATGACTTTTGCCCTTCCCTAATTTTTAAGCTTAGATTGTTAAAGCCACATTAAATACCAGTTTATAGCAGAAGTGCAAGGCTAAATGAAGTATTCTATTAGCCACATAACAAGGTAAATTAAAAAGAGAACAGAAGTCAACCAGATAAACAATGCCCATCTTCCCTCCAAACATCTGCAGTACAGGCAGTCCCCGAGTTACGCGGATCCGACTTATGTCGGATCCGCAGTTACGAACGGGGCCGTCTCCCTGGTCTCCAGCAGACCAGGGAGAGGAAGCAAAGCGGCGGAGCATGCGGGCAGCGGACAGCTCGGTTGATTTAGTTGGGATTGGTTCTGCCGGGGGGCTGGACTTGATAACCTTCTGAGGTCTCTTCCAGCTCTATGGTTTTATGATTCTATAATAGTCTCAGAGGGGAAGAAGCTCAGTTAGTCTGTAATAGGAAAAACTTAAAAAACAGCAAAAAGTCTAGTAGCCCCTAAAAGACTAACAAAACATGTAGCTGGTATCATGAGCTTTTGTGGGCACAGCCCACTTCTTCAGATGACTGAAGTATTAGAAGTCTAGATCCAAGAATAAATAAGGGAAAGGGAGGGGAGAGGAGGAAAAATAAAGATAATTGGATTTTTGATGAGAACATGCAGATCATTGATGCAGCCACTGTTGTGCTGTTGAAACTGATCAGTTTCAGCAGCGGCTGAATCTGGACACCAATTCTGACTTACATACAGATTCAACTTAAGAACAAACCTACAGTCCCTATCTTGTACGTAACCCGGGGACTGCCTGTATATCTGATGTCCATATCCTATCTAATCTATATAGGATGTTTCTATATTGCCCATGACAGTAATGCTGAATTACATCTCTGTATAGTGGTTGTTCCTAGTGTACATCTTCATAGGAGATTTTGTCCTTCACTGTTCCTTGATACTATGAAGCTCTGCATGTTTGGTTTTTTAGCTCTTCGCTTTGGTTACGCTGGGAAATCCTTAACAAATACGTGATTTGTATAGGAGTTCTCTGTGACTTCCTCCAGCAGCTTGTTCCACATCCTATTTTCACATGTTTTGAATCATAGAAGAATGGGTTTGGAAAAGACCTCAGGAGGTCAGCTAGTCCAACCTCCCCTGCCTGCTCGAAGCAGGGCTAATCCCAAATAGCTCATCCTAGTCAGGGCTTTGTCAAGTCTGAATCCACAATTCAAATGCTATTTTATAGGTCTCTGAATTTTCCAATATAAATATCTATTGGTTTTTATCATATGGAGACTCTTACTAGTATTTAAAGAGATAATACAGTAAAACTCCATTAGTCCGGCATCCAATGCTCCGGGACTCCTGATGGTCCGGCACCATCAGGAACCCGGAAGTGCTGGGGCAGCCGGACAGGCTTCCCCCATTCAGCTGCAGCTGAAACTGACCAGCAGCTGCTCTTGGGGACGCCTGGGACAGAGCAGTTGGGGTACTGCCTGGTTGGTCCCGTAGCGCTGCCCCCTGGGGGTGCGCGGCCAA